ATCCGCCATCACAAGTAGTCAAGGAGTCGAAATATACTACTTCCATACAACTCTTGTTAGGAATCAAAGCAGTCCAAAACTAATAGATCGAAATTGCTCATTGTAAGGAATCAAAGCGGCATAGCGCTGATAGTTCCATGCTGCCCATCCTAGGAATCAAAGCAGGCTGGAGCTCATAGTTCTTGACCTCTTTAGTACTACTAGTCCTAACTGCTTACTTCAATTCCAGTAAAAGGTCCAGAACGAGGGTTTAAAAAATCGATGATTACGATCACAACCCATTGATTCAGATTGGGAATTAGTTCAATTCATCTAGATCTTGTAAAATAGGATTTGAAAAATTGGGGATCCAGATTGAAATTGGTTTATCCAGATCCAAAATCGATAGGGCCAATTTGGATCCTAAAAAAATATCAGGAATCAACCGATTCCCCTATAAACTGGCCAGTTCCAGCCGTTCTATTCTATCGGATGGTTTATGGGTTAAAAATGTCCGATTCAACGATTAAAAGACGAATGAAAAATAAAAAATATGGAGTCGGTTCTGGCCGATTTTTTGATAAAATCGGTCAATTCTATCAGATAACTAACCACAACTAACCTAGTTAATTTTTTAAATTTTTTTATTTTTCCAGATTGCCGATCCACCGAACCATATTGAAAATCAAGAGGAGCAATCCGGGTGCCTATCTATATTTACAACCTCGTCCAGAACTAATAGTATTCAAAGGTATTCGGTAAAAGCAGAAAACGCTAAAGAAAGACGTGAGTGGAAAAAAGTAAAGTATAAAAGATATCTTCTTACGTACCACTACTTATAAGAGATGTTGGAGTAAAGTTTTCCCTTTATAGAAAAAGAGCTCTGGCTTAATTCGTTAACTTTTAGACGATGACGATACGTAAGGCTGCATTCTAGGTTTAGTTCTTAAAAAAAAAAAAAGAAAAAAAAAAAAAAAGAAAAAACAAAAAAGAAAGGACATTTTTCTATCATTTTCTAAGTACCAACAAGAAACTTTAGTTGTGAGCGGTGGTTTAAAAAATGGATTGGTGGCTCGGATCGAGCATCTCAAAAATTGATTCGGATTGGTGAATCGGTGATCCAGATCGGGAATCCGGCCGAATCGTTCGGATTAAGCTTTAAAAAAAATCAAAAAAAATATTAACATTCATTATAAATGTTGTTTTTTAGGAATCCAATAAAAAATGAGGATACTATATTATTAACTTTCATTGTTTTCATCAATTTATGAATATTGAGATGTTCTTTCCCTGTATGAACTTATGTTGACCATTAAATTTACATCACACAAAAGAAATCAAAGAATTATCATGGATTAATTATATAATCATATATGAACTACAATAAAGAGTTGACTAAATCGATGAAAATTTGGCCACTAAAATATCGAATTGCTGGAAAACCCTAATCCACTAAAAAAACCCAAATTATTACAACCTAACTAACTATAATATTATATACCAACAATATTTTATAATTATTTTGCTATATAAATAATAACAAATCCAAAATATTTTATAATATCATCTAATTTAAAATGTATTATTGACAACTGTAAGAAAAATAATACACTACATGATTTATAATACAAAACTTAATAAATAAAATAAAAGATTTGGTTATCAATGTAGAAATTATTAGAATGCGTACCAATTTTCTTTAATTTTTTAGGCTTCTAGAATAAATTAGTAGAAAAGATTGTTAATAGAAAGAG